GCACCCAGATACCCAGTTCCCAATGGGGTCCAAATCCCAAATACATCCATTTTACTCTGTATAAAGCTTATACGGGGTAAACTCATAAATTGTCCACCCTCTATAACACTGATAGAGAGAGATGCACAGCTGTTTGCTCCCCCAGGTATTGATTACTTACTCTGGTTAATTAATAAGCAAAAAGTGATTTTATTAAGTATAAAAAGTAGGATTTAAGTGGTTCCAAGTAATAACAGACAGAACAAAGTAAGTTACCAAGCAAAATAAAACGAAACACGCAAATCTAAGCCTGATACAGTAAGAAACTGAATGCAGGTGAATCTCACCCTCAGAGATGTCCCAATAAGCTTCTTTCACAGATTGTACTTCTTCCTAGTCTGGGTCCAGCAATCACTCACACCCCTGTAGTTACTGTCCTTTGTTCCAGTTTCTTTCAGGCATCTCTTGGGGGTGGAGAGGCCATCTCTTGAGCCAGCTGAAGACAAAATGGAGAGGTTTCCAGGGCCTTTTATATTCTTTCTCTTGTGGGCGGAAACCCCTTTGTTCTCCTGTGCAAAATCACAGCAGCAAGATGGAGTTTGTAACAACCTGGGCAAGTCACATGTCCATGAATCATTCAGTTTTTTGCAGACTGACGCCATTGTTTACATGTTAGTTTGAACATTACCAGAAAAACTCATTGAGAATCACATTGAGATACAAGTACATAGCCAATATTCATAACTTCAAATACAGAAATGATACACACAGACAGCATAATCATAACCATAACCAGCAAACTTCAACCTTTCCATAGACACCCCCGCTTGACCTCCTCTGTACAAGATCTGGTGCAACCATAGGACCCTGGTTGCAACAATGATCTATACACTCACAGTTCATGTCAATAACGTCACAGGCCATACTGGGTCAGACCAATGGTCCATCTAGCCCAGCGTCCTGTCTTCTGACAGTGGCCAATCCCAAGTGCTTCAAAGGGAATGAACAGAACAGGCAATCACTGAGTGATCCATTCCCTGTCAGCCAGAGGTTTAGGGGCACCCAGAGCATGGGGTTGCATCTCTGATCATCATGGCTAATAGCCATCAACTTATCTAGTTCTTTTTTGAACTCTGTTATAGTCTTGGCCTTAACGACATCCTCTTACAAAGAGTTCCACAGGTTGACTGCATTATGTGAAAAAATACTTCCTTTTGTTTATTTTTAAACCTGCTGCCTATTAATTTCATTTGGTGACCCCTAGTTCTTGTGTTGTGAGGAGTAAATAACACTTCCTTATTTACTTTCTCCACACCGCTCATGATTTTATAGACCTCTATCAGATCCCCCTCTAGTCGCCTCTTTTCCAAACCGGGAAGTCCCAGCCTTATTAATCTCTTCATACGGAATGTGTTCCGTACCCCTAATCATTTTTGTTGCCCTTTTCTGTTCCTTTTCCAATTCCAGTATATCTTTTTTGAGATGTGGCAACCAGATCTGCATGCAGTATTCAAGGTGTGGGTGTATCATGAAATTATATAGAGGCAATGTTATTTTTTCTGTTTTCTTAAATATCCCTTTCTTAATGATTCCCAACATTTTGTTAGTTTTTTTGACTGCACGTTGAGCAGATGTTTTCAGCGAACTATCCACAATGACTCCAAGATCTCTTTCTTGAGTGGTAACAGCTAATTTAGATTCCATCATTTTATATGTATAATTGGGATTAATGTGCATTACTTTGTGTTTATCAACATTGAATTTCATCTGCTATTTTGTTGCCCAGTCACCCAGTTTTGTGAGATCCCTTTGTAACTCTTCAGTCTGCTTTTGACTTCACTATCTTGTGTAGTTTTGTATCTTCTGCAAATTTTGCCGCCTCACTGTTTACCCCTTTTTCCAGATCATTTATGAATATGTTGACTAGTACTGGTCTCAGTTCAGACCTCTGGGGGATACCGCTATTTACCTCTCTCAGTTCTGAAAACTGACCATTTAATCCTACCCTATCTTTTAACCAGTTACTGATCCATGAGAGGACCTTTCCTCTTATTCCATGACAGCTTACTTTGCTTAAGAGCCTTTGGTGAGGGATCTTGTCACAGGCTTTCTGAAAATCTAAGTATGCTCTATCCTCTGGATCCCCCTTGTCCACATGCTTGTTGATTCGCCCCTCAAAGAATTCTATTAAATTGGTGAGGCGTGATTTCCCTTTACAAAAGCCATGTTGACTCTTCTCCAACAGATTATGTTCATCTGTGTGTCTAATAATTCTGTTCTTTACTACAGTTTCAACATTTACCTGGTACTGAAGTCAGGCTTATCGCAGTGCCTGTAATTGCCGGGATCACCTCTGGAGCATTTTTGTAAAAAATTTGGCATCACGTTAGCTGTACTCCAGTCATCTGGTACAGAAGCTGATTTAAATGATAGGTTACAAACCGCAGTTAGTAGTAGTCTGGCAATTTCACATTTGAGTTCCTTCAGAACTTTCTCCAAAGAAAGACTAAAAAATTAACACTATACAAAATGACATTGGCTCATAATAAAGGAATTAAAAACTGTCTGGCTGAAAGAGCTCCATACAAACCATACAGTACAAACCATAATTGTACTTGGGGAATCCTCTGTTGTGGTCAAAGACACCCACGCAATGATTTTAGTTAAAAGACTCAAGCCTGAAGCCAGTTTATTGACATACATACCAGTGCACTGGGGTGCAGTCCGAAGACTGACACCCCGAGGGCCGCTTGCAGGCGGGTTTTTATTTCATTAAACCGCAAGCAAAGTACAAGCAATATGTCATGAGTTAAGAAACTGGGGTTGGGGTCAGCCCCTCCCCAAACCGCAAGTTAAGAAATTAGGGTCGGGGTCAGTTTTCCCCCCTCCCCCCAGGTACCTTCCTCGTTTTTCCGAGAATTGGATGTTTATTTGGGTAGAGGGGCGCTTGGTGGTTTTCCCCAGGGGTGGTACTTGGTACCAGTTTGGGTACATTTCTCAAGACACATGTTATTTTCCGGGGTCTTTTGGTTAAAGATTAGGGGAGGGGGGTTTCCATGGGACGCCTAAAGAGGATCTATGATTGGCTATTTTTGCAGATAGCTGGAATCACGAAGTGGGTCACAGATCACCCAAAGGAGAAGCTGCATGAGTCAAGAAATTGCATTTAGCTAAAGTTACCTATTGCTTCACACAAGTGGTTATTATATTTAATTAGTCATGAACATATTTCATTAATGCTGCTGCTGGGGCTTTTCTTCTATTCTTTCCCCCCTTGCCCCCCCCCCC